CGCGGAAAAACTCTTTTTTATTTGGACATGTAATAAGTCTGAGGAAAAAATCAACAGTAAAGAATGTCATCGTCGCGTACTCCACATATTGGAACAATTTGTGTTCAAAATAAGAAGAGTTACTTAGTTTCACGAGTGAAGACAACTTGTCTTTAGTAACTGAAATTGTGTCCTCAATGACATCAATCATCTTCTCGATAACCTTTGCTCGTATCATATCAGATGAAATGATTTCTGTTATATTGATACTGATATTTGTCAGGCTGATATTTTGGTCTGCAGCGATAGGGTTTGACGTATCGTTGGAGCCGGACCTCGGAGGGTGTTGTCGTGTCCGATTTGAATCGTTTGTTTGGTTCATGGTATGGTCGTTATCGGGTAGAGTTGCGATAGCTATTGAAGGAATATCTACATAAGAAACGCCATCGTATTGTGTGTACTCAGCAGACTTATCCGACTCTACAGGAGATATTTCTATTATGTTTGGCTTGCAACATTTTGGAATGTGCAAGTGAACATCTGTATGTTCTACTTTTAAATCAGTACTTCTTTCATTTGGGTACAACGCCGCGTTGCCGCTATCAAAGTAACTGCAGGGATTGCAATGTACTTCAATGATCATGGACTTTTTCTTTTGCGTCGGCTCCTCAGATTCGGTCTCAAAATCCAACGGTGTTTTGAAACCTTGAGCTGTTCCCGTGGGTGGATCGATTATCACTAATGGAACAGAGGATTGTGTTGCAATGTTGACATCCGGTTGAGAAGACATATTTTGTTGACGGGTCTCGTTCACGTCGTCTATACTGTTCATAGTTAGAATGGCTATTACCAGCAGTACGAAGGTTGTCGAAACATAGAAGTACATCTGGAAAAAGATTGGTTACAACATAAAGGAGATAGCACAGTATTGGTGACCGTTTTTATAAGCTTATCTATATGTCAGTATTTGTGTATTTTCACATTGCATTGGTGTTCAATCCTTTACTGCCTCAAACAGTATTTTATAAAAAAAAAAAAATGGAAAATGTATCACAGCTTCAAGGAACAAGAACAAATCCTAATTTTAAGACAAACGAAAAGGCGGTGTAACAATAGCAAAACGAAAGGAAAGACATTAGTTTCCCAAAAACGGTGTTTAAAATAATAAACATTCTTTTGGCACCGCATAAAGTAAGCATAACGTTGACTTCTAGTTATTAAAGTAAATGAAGTAAATAAAATATATAGATTATTAAGCGGGTTGAACATTGAATGTTTTAAACTACAATGTTATTTCTTATAAAATGTGATTATAAAATAAACATTAAAATCATCCCCGACACGGTATATAACATACCTTAGAACATACAGACATCCGGTCACAGTTTACGATTCCCCACATGCGTTCCTTCACACTTCTGTGACGCCTGTATTCAGCGCTACTACCTCCCAATCTTGTGTACATGTTTTCGAACTCCTCTAGCTTCTTCTGATCGTTTAAGAAAGCACTCAACTTATGAAAGCAACACTTTTCCAACAGTCTCGACCTCAGACCCCAGAATTTGAGCTCTGTGTTAAACTCTCCCTTGCAGACATTCTGGGGGATGTGCAACTGCCCAGTATAGCAGAATTCTATAAAAGCCATGGTGGAATCCTTAGGTCTCCTTATGACGTATTTCGTGTACGTATCAGTTCCGGATGTCGTGTCAAGGAACATTTCAATCTTAGAACCGAATGTTCTAAATACAGAATCCATCGCGATTTCAAAGTGATCGGCACCAACTTGGAGAATGCACACTTTCTGTTGACCTTCCATATTGCTATCTTTGTTCTGCAACCTGTATTCGAGTGAATTTAAATCGAAACAAAAGTTATTGAGAAATGTCCTTTCCTTACACACTTGTGACCAGCGAACAACGTACAAGCTAAATCTCTCCAAATAGGCCGAGTTGTTGTTCCGCTGTGTCCTTATAAGTTCCAGTTGATGACTGTTTGAGAGCGGGAGATTACAACAAATCTCTAATGATGCATCAATATTACTCATATATATTTAAAACTGCTTAATGACTTTTAGCCGAGTTCACGAATATATATAGCTTATCGATATAATGTATTCCCTTGATAGAATGAGATAGGTGTAATGAGTGCAGTGTAAACCAAATCTAGACCGCTTCCATTTTACTTCGCGTATTTATTAGCAAAATTTTGTTTTGTATTAGTTATACGATATAATGCATTCAATTCAAATTATGCTAGTTTAAATACTAGTGATGCCGTTGTTTAAACGTTTTAGATTTGTCCTTATTCTTAAATTTAAAACAACACCGGTGCTAATTAAGGTTGACCTAGAACATAGAAATATGTCAAAATCGGATCCATGTGCTTGATGTCTATAGAAAACAAATGACTATTTAATCAGCATTATCTACCTAGCACCTTGATAAACAAAATCGTGATTTGTTCGAATGTTACTGTACCTATCTCCAAAAGCCATATCCATATTCGTTGTATTAATATTGACTTTGAAAAATGAATAACATTTGAACAATTTTCTATAAAAATCTCATTATTGAGCCATTCAATGTTTTCCATAGATACTCATGAAACTGCGAAAAGCTTGATCCATCATCAATTTAATGTATCTGGCCCCTAAGATATCATTGTACCCGCTTCATTTTAGTATGTTTCCATATAAAAACAACATCAAGAGAATACCTAAGTGCATAGGTCAGATTCTTCTGCTTCATCAGCTACACATGCCTTGTAAATATAGGTCAAATCCAAGTAATGCACGTCCTCAAAGCGCGAATCAAAGCAGTAATAAAAAAAATGCACATTCATCAGCATAATAAAAACATCAAGCTACATATCACTCAAGGAATCAGTATCACAAAAATCATTATTTTCGCCGCAAGCTCGTGAATACCGAGTAAGACACGACATTTGAACACCGTAAATTCAGGAAGTAGATGTGTAACAATCAAGAAAGAGAGTGGTCACGATTTGGAAATTTATAATCGTCACGCTTAGCATTCAGCATATTAGTAGGCCGTCTATCTTAGTAATGTTCAAGCTCAGTAGGATATATACAACCGACGAGGTCAAACGCTTTCTTATTAAACAATCTTATTCTGATCCTAAATTACATTTAAATTATATTTCATTTCTTGTTAGAGGTACAGAAGCACGTCGATGAATCTAAAAAAGGAAAAGGAAAGGACTTCACAGTTTTTAATAAATTCAGCCTTGCATGAAAAAAAAAAAAAATCGTGAGAGGGGAAAGTTTTCTTCCTATAGGAATGCCCATTGTCAGCTGGAAAATCTCAAACAAAATAGTATCAATCAGGAATTCAATCAATTCATCCTGGCCTTTGTCTTGCTATTTACGAAATAAGATCCAAAATAGTTTACAACCATATGTGTATATCGTAGTAGTCGTATAATGACAGAACGAAGGCAGCACTTTGTCATGATCGAGATGATCTGATAGAACACTTCTGAGGAGAGGATGTTCAAAGTAAATTAGCACTAGGAATAGCAGTTAGATGTTTTTTGTGTTTGGATTCGTTCAGCAACTTGTGGAGCCAACAATAAACGTTATTTGTAAAATCTGTGCTTTAAATTCCCGAGTAGCCAGTATTTTGTTTTTCGAGAAATAGAAAATGTATGGTTAGGGTTTCCTTGGTAATCAATCAGGCCTAGCTCTTTTTGCTGATGAGAACTAAGTTGTAATATTTTTCCCCATGCATCATGCAGGTCGTGAGATGTAACTCACTTTGAAAGTTGATCCACTAAAACCTACTCTCGTTTTGCCAACTGTCTCTGGCGAAGACTTCAATGGAATTCATTGATTTCTTGAAATTCATGTTGAAAATGTTAGGAGAAGTCAACTACGGATCATTTAAGAAGAGCTCATCAATAGTATTTGATATTTTACTAGTATCTCTGCAAAATGTCTAGTGTTTTCAAGTTTGTCAGGAAAAACGGTCTCTTGCCATTGTTTCCAATATTTGGGTCATCTTAATGTTACTTCATGATCGAATGTGTAGTTTGACGCTTCGGCGCAAGAAGGAGAATAGTGTGCTAAAATAATTCCGACTTGCATGCATTGCTGCACTTTTGCTGCAGTTGACAGAGGTAGGTAAGTTTGCACACACACTAATAATACAATCGTGAAACATGAAATGCATGTATTATTCTATATTCAGTACACAACAGGAAGGAGTAATATTTCCTTCGAACAAACAAACGAAACAGGGCACTACATAAAGGTACATGCAAATTGATCGAGATAAACAGTCTAGTACTGGGTTTTGCTTGTGATCTCCTTATATATTATGTAACGTAAATGTAAGTTAATGTAATACATGGTTCAGAATGAGTTTGAAACCTACACACCAGCATAACTCTCTATCACGCAACGAAAACCTACACACCAGCATAACTCTCTATCACGCAACGAAAACCTACACACCAGCATAACTCTCTATCACGCAAC